TTATCTTGTCTGCTTTCCAACCAAACACACCCTAATTCGTAATAAGTTCAGTTAAGCTTTCCTTCGTAGAGAATTCAAAAATAAATTAATTTAAATGAAATGCTCTAGTAGGTTTGCTTTAGTGTTTAGTAGATAATTATAAATTGTTAGTTTTAATTAAATAGATTAAATATTTAAAATTTTTAATAATTATTATTTTTAATTAGTAGATATTAATTATTAATTATCAATTATATTTAAATAGTTGATTTAAATATCATTTTTATATTTATAAATAAAATTTCGAATCACATTTTTATAAATAAAATATTTTATATTTTCATTAAACCAAATAAATCTAAGACTTTTTAAATATAAATTTTATGTATAAATAAGTTGAGTTATAGTAAATTAATTTAAAAATAAAATGAATTTTAATTCATTATTATTCTACAACAAACCGTAAATCAACCTTTTAATTTATCACGAGTTGAGAAAAGAAAAAAAAAAAAAAGGATGAAATAAATGGAATTGAATTTTTTTTTTTAGACAAGAGAAGTGAACGCACCACTAGCGCTAGATTCCCCGTTATGATTACTAGTACTAAACAAAGTGACTTTATTTCTCGGAAAAGATGTAGACATCATGAATTGGTTGAGGCCAGCGTTTTTTCATACACCCTTCTTTTTTTCTGTTTTTATTTATGAGAAACTTTGCCTTTGTGTGCTTTGCTTTCCCATATTTTATAGAGTGGTGTCAAGAGTTAACTAGTTGAGTTGAGGACATTACTCAAATCATTCGTTTACTCAAATGGTGATTACGTGTCATTTAAATAAATAAATAATTTTATTTATTTATTTAAAATTTATAATATTATATATATTTATTTAATAATATATAAAATTTATATAAAAAATTATTTTTATATCACCATTCATTTAATAATTTAAATGTATAACTAGATAGAATTACTACTTATAATAGCAAATACCATTAGCTTTGTAAGGCAAAGGTTTTTTTTTTTTTTTGAACATAGGGGATTTAGGGATAAAGGATTTAGTTTTTAATAAGAGTCAAACTCTCGATCAACTATATTTAATTACTAAAAACTTAAAAATGAATCATTAAATCTAAAGATTTGATTCTTACAAAACAAAAGTTTGTATTAAATAGGTTAAGAATATGTGATTATACATTACCTTTATTTCTCCAACTTGTGCAAATTATTAGTGTCTAACAATTAAATTGTGACGTACTATGGTGGAAGTTTCCCAATTTATATCATGACTAGACACACACTAAATTTTTTCCAAGTACAACACACACTAAAATTTTTCCAAATACGACAAATAAGATGGTTTTAGGAAAAGAATATTAGGGAAAACCTATAATTATGTACTTAGGTGCTTGTTTGTTTCGCCCACAAACCAAACCTTAAAAAACTAGAAATAGCAGGATATTTGATGACTTTACTATCTCTCTTGAAAAGACTTTTTTCCACCACCAAAAACATAGGAATTGTTAAAACTTCCACGGCAAGTTTAAAATATGGAATACTGAACTACTTGAAAAGGAAATTATAAGTATATTTAATGAAGTTTGTAAGTATTTTAATTTTTTTGATATTATTTATATTTTATAAATTAAATTTTTTAAAAGAAAATTTATATTTTTTAAAATTTTTTAATCTTAAAATTTAAAATTGGATCCATTGTTAGTCCTTTGTTAAGTTTTTGTTTTATAAGCTTGTAATATGTTATTTTAACAGAAATCTTAAAATAAAGTACAAAAAAAAGGTTTTTTTT